ATTGATAAAAGGAAAAATATTTTCATTGCTGATAATTCCAATCATCGGATTGTTAAATGGAAATATAATGCAAAACAAGGACAAATCACTGCAGGCGGAAATTGGAAAGGAAGTCGAATGGATCAATTAAGGTATCCAACAGATGTAATTGTTGATCAACAGAATAATGCGATTATCATTGCTGATTATACGAACAGCCGAGTGATTCAATGGTTGAATCAAAATCAACAAGTTCTCATTGACAATATTAACTGTTATGGTTTGGCAATAGATAAATATGGATTTCTTTATGTGTCTAATCATCAAAAGAATGAAGTGAGACGATGGAAAATGGGAGAATATAACAATGAAGGAATTGTAGTGGCAGGTGGAAACGGACTAGGAAATCAACTCAATCAGTTCAATTTTCCTACTTTTATCTTTGTTGATGAACATCAATCTGTTTATGTATCAGATAGACACAATCATCGTGTAATGAAATGGAGAAAAGATGCAAAAGAAGGAAGAATTGTGGCTGGAGGAAATGGTCAAGGAGGAAATCTCAATCAATTGTCTTCACCTCAAGGGGTAATTGTTGATGATTTAGGTCAAATCTATGTGGCAGATAGTGAGAATCATCGAGTGATGCGTTGGTGTGAAGGAAAAGGTGCAGGTGAAATTGTTATTGGTGGAAATCATTTGGATGATCTCAAAGGTTTGTCCTTTGATGATGAAGGAAATCTTTATGTTGTCGATATGGTAAATGATCGAATTCAAAAATTTGAAATAATTTTATGAATGAAATTTTGACTATGAAAACGAGAAAAAATTTTTTTATTAAATAAAAGAACGAAGAAAAATTGTTTTTGATTCTATTTTCTTGAAATTTGAATTGTATTGAAATAAAGATTATGTGAAAAGAAGGTTTTATATTTGATAAGATTCTATTTGAATATCTTTATTCGATGAAAATAGCCAAAAATTTTTGATTTTCGATTTAATAAAATTTAAGAATTGTTCAAAATTGAAAATATGTATGAAAAGAAATTAATTACTAAAATTAAGTAAGATTCACTCATAGTAAAAATCTACTGTTTGGTTGATAATACGGGTAGAAAATGATAATGAATAAGTTAAGTTGCACTATTAAGAATTTGATTAGAAATATGTATTCAATCAATATCTAATATTTGATTTAGAGATATCTTGTCAAATAAATAAATCTTTTATTTGTTACTATATATTATAAATAGAATTCATATGAGATGAACTATTCACACGAAACAATATCCTGTTAACAAACATTATCATTTATAAATATCAATTCTATTGAAGACTAAAATTAAATTATATTCATTAATATTATCTTTTAATGTATTTTCAAATGTTAGAAAAAAGTGTTCACTAAAAAATATTTTTTATGGTAATCATTTTGTTTGATTATAAGGTAAGATTTTAAAGATTGAAGATCTCCCATATCAATGCATACATATATTTATTCCTACAGTTCACAATTTTGATACTTTTGTTGTAATAATATTTCAATATTTCTAAATTTATACCTTTTCATTATATAGTATGCAATATTAAATGATAAAATTTTGATATGAAAAACCCAATAGTTTTCAAAGAACAGTATATTTTATAGATTATATAAGAGAAACAAAAAGATATGTTTCACATAATTGTCGTATAATTATTATTACTTTTCAAAAGGATATCAAACAATAAAAGAGATATTTTTTCTTCTTTATGTAAAAAAAAAATGATTTTATTTGAGACGATAAAAACTCATCGCATAGAATTTTATTTTTTCTTATCTCAAAAATAAAAAAGTACACAGTTAAGTTTTACATTCTACATTGAAGGTAAATGTGGATGTGACCATTTTTTTGTTATATACCACCAACGCACCCTCAAAAGATATTACATCAGTTTTATTAGTCGAATTTTGTCATAAAAAAGAATTCTTTTTCGAGTTCTTTTACGACCGAGCAATGTTTTTATTGTCATTGAATTATTACATTTAGTACGATAAAAGTAGAGAAGGAGATATTCATTTCTTCTAGCAACTTCTATTCAAAGACATGGGAATGACAAATAACAAAACACAATGTTTTACATGTAACAAGGAAAAAGCAATATATTCTTGTAAAGGATGTTCAAATAGATTTTCTTTTACGGATTTAGCAGAGCAAAAACAATTATTAAATGAAGAATTACAACATATTACTGAGGATTATGATCAATTTAAACAAAAAATAAATGAACAAAAACAAAATCCACAGAATGATGCGTTAATAAAACAAATTGATCAATGGGAAAGAAATTCAATTGAAAAAATTCAAGAAAAAGCACAAAATTGGAGAGAAACTACCCTAAAATATTCACCAACAGTTATTAATGATATTGAAATGAAACTTGATGATTTAAGTGAACAAATAAAACAAATTCACAAAGAAAATGACTATAATGAAACTAAATTAAACTATTTAAGAAATCAATTGATAACAATCACAGAAGAATTCAACAATTCATCAAATATTTCTATTGAACAAGATTCACAATCATTTATCAATGAAATTTCATTTATTCCTTCAAAAAGTAAGTTTTGCAGAAATAATGCTCATTTTCTATAATATTGTGTTGAAAACTATAAAAATAATTGAGAGTATTATTAATTAAATTAATAACAACAACATTAGTAGAAATAGAAAATTTGACTTACTTGTATGTAAAAAAAAAGGAATGGTAAGATATGAAATAATATTAAATTAACTCTTTAACAGACGGTGGGATAAATGTGTCTGTGCACAATCTCGTATAGCTTTTTATAACGTATTAAATTGATGCGTGGATTATTATAATTTAATGGATTAACAACACTAGTTTCGTTTTCTTCATATTTATTAGTGAAGAAAAAATATTCTGTCTCATAAATCTCGATGATCAGCAATTTAAAATCACTTTTTAATAAAAATTAATCCAAATAAATCTATAAAAGAATAAATTGAGAACTGTCTTTGTTTTATTATGATTATATATTGATATTCTCCGACAAATATATGAATAAATTATATTTCTTTTGAATTCATTAAAACTTATGTAATTAATTTAGAAATCTTAATCATATTGTCTTATTTTAATTAGTTTATTCGGGTTTAATTCAATTTTCTTTATTAATTGTCTTTTAGTATTTTTTTTATTTGTTCTTTAATATTTCCAAGTTTCAACATATTATTCACCAGAGTGAAACCAATAGATCTTTTATATGTATAAATTATATTAAGTAAAACAAAAATATACAAATGTAGACTTTTACGAAAATTTTCACTATCAATTAAGAAAGATTTCCTTCTGTTTGAAATATGTTTCATAAGAAATCTTTTTTTAAATATTCATATTTAAATTGTGAATCAAAATAAATAATAAAATTTAACAAATTGTTAAAAATAAGTCAACAAAATCTTTTTCTCCTTTTCAACTTCATTTCTTTTCGTAATTTTCTAGAATCCAAATGGGACGAATGGAAACAAAACGCTATCACTGTGGCTGGTGGAAATAAACAAGGACAAGAATTAAATCAACTTAGCGGTCCTATGGGAATCTTTATTGATAAAAACAAAAATATTTTCATTGCTGATTATGATAATCATCGTATTGTTGAATGGAAATATAACGCAAAGGAAGGACAAATCATTGCTGGTGGACATGGCAGAGGAGATCGAATGGATCAGTTGGATCATCCAACCGATGTAATTGTTGATCAACAAAATCATTCAATCATCATTGCTGATTGGGAAAACAGACGAGTGATTCAGTGGCTGAATCAAGATCAACAAATTCTTATTGATAATATTGATTGTGTGGGTTTAGCAATGGATAAAAATGGATTGCTTTATGTCTGTGATTATAAGAAAAATGAAGTAAGACGATGGAATATAGGAGAATACAATAATGAAGGAATTATAGTGGCAGGCGGAAATGGACAAGGTGATCAACTCAATCAACTTAGTTCTCCTACTTTTATCTTTGTTGATGAACATCAATCTGTTTATGTGGCAGATAACAACAATCATCGTGTGATGAAATGGAAAAAAGATGCAAAAGAAGGAAGAATTGTGGCTGGAGGAAATGGGAAAGGACAAAATCTTGATCAATTGTTTGGACCTCGAGGAGTAATTGTTGATGATTTGGGTCAAATCTATATAGCAGATCGTAGGAATCATCGAATAATGCGTTGGTGTGAAGGAAAAAAAGAAGGTAAAACTGTTGTTGGTGAACATGGTGAAGGAAATCAATTGAATGGTCCCACAGGTTTATCTTTTGATGATGAAGGAAATCTTTATGTTGTTGATTGTGAAAATCGTCGAATTCAAAAATTTGAAATAATTTTGTGAATGAAATTTTAACTTTGAAGAAAAGAAAACAATTTTTTTATAATTTGATTTGAAATAAAAATTATTTAAGGGTAGATGTGATCATAGATTGTATTTTGTTAAACCTAAACCCACCCTCAAGATGGTCTTTCAATTCATTCTCATGTAAAATATTCCAATTTAACTAACTGTTATTTTTTGTCATATTACGAACATGTACTTCGAAAATACAAGCATATATGGATGAAACAAAAAATTATGATTCAATATTGGTATATTCTTTTTCTTCGTTGACCTTTCTTTGACGATAGTTTGTCAAGCACAGAAAGAAAAAAGATATATCAAGTCATCATATAAAGCCACTTTACATTACACAAATAATAATGAGACAAAAAAATCACGTATGAAGGCTATTTTCAATAGACAAAAGAGACGAGCAAAATATCATATTTATACTTGTTTCTTTTCTTTCATTGTATCCATGCGTGTCTAGTCAGTATTTATCCAACGTTTTCTTCGGTGACGAGAAGATATATTTTCAAGGGCATTGAAGAAAAGAATATTATGAGGAGAGTATCATTCTTTTATTTCTTATTTGTAAGATATTACTAGTATTTTAATCTATCATGAGTCAATTAGCAGCGACAAACTCACCGAAAGTTAAATTAGGATATAAAAAATTTTAAGAATGAAAAGAAAGTGTTACATATTATCTTTCTCTTATAAGTAGGTATCAGTTAGATTAAGTCAATTGTAATAAACGTTCACGAGTCTGAGTGTGGAGCAATGAGAACTCACTAACATTCACATCCTTATTGAATAAAACATTTTTTATTCAACCATCTTAGATATTACATCAGTTTTATCAGTGAAATTTTATCTACCAATTAGCAATTGCTGCCACAAGAGAACTTCTTTTTCGATTTCTTCTATTAGTGAACAACGTTCTTATTGTCACTGAATTATTAAGTTCATATTTATAAAATTAAATAAATAGATTATTCAGTTCTTCTAAAACTTTATATTCAAACGACATGGCACTGGGAAATAACAAGACACTATGTTCTGTATGTAATAAAAATAAAATAACATATTCTTGTGATGGATGTTCACAAAGATTTTGTTTACTTGATTTAACAGAACATCGTCAAACATTAAATAATGAATTACATCATATCGCCGGTGAATATAATGAATTTAAAGAAACAATTAATGAACAAAAACAAAATCCACAAAATTCTTCAGTTATAAAACAAATTGATCAATGGGAAAGAAATTCAATCGAGAAAATTCAACAAACAGCAAAAGATTGGAAAGAAATTGTCAGTGAATCATTACAAACATATATTAATGATATTGAAAAGACATTTAATGATTTAAATGAACAAATAAAACAATTTCAGATCGAAAATGAATTTAATGAAATGGATTTAAGTTGTTTAAGAAATCAATTGACAGAAATTACAGAACAATTAAATAATTCATCAAATATCTCTATGCAACAAAATCGACAATTAATAATTAATGATATTTCAATTATTTCATTAGAAAAAAGTAAGTTTTTAAGAACGGTGAAGATAAAAACACAACTAAAAGTATTATTGATTTATTTATTATCTAAATCAATAATAATTCTATTCATAGAAATAGAACGATAAAATATGAAATAATGTTAAAATACATAAAAAAAATTTTATTCAAAGATTCAAAAAATGTTCGATTGATAAAAACAAAACTGAATTAATTTCGAATTTGTACTTATCAAAAAATAAATCAGAAAAATCTTTTGTTTTTATCATTTTCTAGAGCCAACATGGGATAAATGGAAACAAAACGCCATCACTGTGACTGGTGGAAATGGAAAAGGACAAAGCTTAAATCAACTCAATCGTCCGGCAGGAATCTTTCGTGATGCAAACAAAAATATTTTCATTGCTGATTATGATAATCATCGTATTGTTGAATGGAAATATAATGCAAAAGAAGGACAAATCATTGCAGGTGGAAATAAACAAGGAAATGGAATAGATCAATTGAATCATCCAACAGATGTAATTGTTGATCAACAAAATCATTCAACCATTATTGCTGATCGTGGGAACAGACGTGTGATTCAATGGTTAAATCAAAAGCAACAAATTCTCATTGATAATATTGACTGTTACGGTTTGGCAATGGATAAACATGGATTTCTTTATGTTTCTGAATATAAGAAAAATGAAGTGAGACGATGGAAAATGGGAGAATACAACAATGAAGGAATTGTAGTAGCAGGTGGACATGGAAAAGGAAATCAACTGAATCAACTTAGTTCTCCTACTTTTATCTTTGTTGATGAACATCTATCTGTTTATGTATCAGAATTTTACAATCATCGTGTAATGAAATGGAGAAAAGATGCAAAAGAAGGGAGAATTGTGGCTGGAGGAAACGGTGAAGGAAAAAAACTTAATCAATTGCATCATCCTCACGGAATAATTGTTGATGATTTGGGTCGAATCTATGTGGCAGATTGTGATAATGATCGAGTAATGCGTTGGTGTGAAGGAAAAGAAGAAGGTGAAATTGTTGTTGGTGGTAATGGTCTAGGAAATCAATTGAATTATCCTCGTGGTTTATCGTTTGACGATGAAGGAAATCTTTATGTTGCTGATAGTTGGAATCACCGAATTCAAAAATTTGAAATAATTTTGTAAATTGAAGTTTTGATTTTGAAGAAAAGAAAAGTGAAGTTTTATTGTTGAAAATCAATGAAAAACTTGATTAATACTTGAATAAAAATCTTTTTGTTTTTTTTCCATCAAAATTGACTTTAATTTGATAGTTTCAACTAGATGTTTCGAATAAATAAATGTTAAATTCTTTATCTTTTGTTGATTTTTGTCGAATTTTACTAAGAAAAAGAATAGCAAATATTTTATAATTTATTAATTAGATTTTATTCAATTACTGACATCCAGAATCGATTAATGATCAATTCTTCTATTTATCTATTGAATATTCGTATTGTTTTTATATATTGAATTATTTAATCTGAACGTATCACTTATTCTCCTTAGATCAGCACATTCAATTTTAATATTTCCTTTCTTTTTCTTCTATTGATATTCATATTGACTTCTAAATATTCGTTTTTTCAATATTAATATTCTTTAGAAATGTCATTTTCATCAAATCTTTCTCATCGTATCAATATTGGTATACCATTTAAACTTTATTATAATAAATCGCATATGAATAAAAATAATATTATTGTTTCATTAAATGTTCATAAATTCGATTTTCTATGTTAATTATCTAATAATTATGATAAAATATGATATTTTACTCTTTAAAACATTTATTAGATTTTCAAAGATTCACTTCAGATGCTATTGGTATAAATATTATTGAACAAATTTTGTTGTTGTTGTATTTTAAAAATATCGTTCTGATTTTAATATTCAACACATTGATATATTAATTAAATTTTCATATGATAAAAATAATGATCAATATATCATATTATTCTTTATTTAATTAATAAATATAAATAAATTTATTTTTAATTTAAACAATTAAATTGATTTATAATAAATATTGACGATTATTATGATATTTAATCATTACAAACATTTAATTTCAATCATCACAGATACTTGTAGTATCATCATTTCTCTAGAGTTTTTCATAGTGAATCTTTTAAAAGAAAAAACATCAAACTTCTATTATGCATCGATGCTGAGGTATATAAAAGAAAATTTTGGGATATTTGATTAATTATGATTAAATTTGATCATATTTTACTTATTTATTTCGATAGGTTTTCTTTTTCAAATCAAATATATAGTTAGAAAAAAACAATAGTTAGAAGAATTTCATCGATAAAAGAGAAATTCAAAGTGATGTGACAGTCTTATCGAAGGTTGAAGAAAAACATGATGTTTCAAAGCATATAAGTAATAGTTCGTTGATTTAAAAAGAAAACACAATTCTTTCTACGATAAGCAGTAGATCTATTCCCATCTCTACAATATAATATATTCTGAGAAAATACTTGAAGATAACACATTTCGATAGAAGTCAAAAGAACAGAAGAAAACGAATTGTAATAACGAAAAGGAAAAAAAATACTATATGGTTATATATGGAAGAAAATACCATGTGACCATCTATGTGGTTAATGTAGCGAACGAATAATTTATTTGTTTGCTTACACGTGGTATAGATAAAATTCTGATTCATATTTTTCAAATAGTTTCATTCTAGTAAGTTAGTCTTTTGAAATAATATAAAAATGAGTAAAAAAGAAATCTACATTAAAACATTCGTTCATTCAAAAACTATCACTAAAATTGTTTCGATTTTTATTTGAAATTAACAAAAATAAATTCTTTTACGATTTCTTGTACTACTGAACAATATTTTTATTATTATTGAGTTATTAAATTTACATCTGGAAGAGCATATAGGGAAATATTTATTTCTTCTAGAAATTTACATTCAAAGACGTGGCAATGACAAACAATAAAACACAATGTTGTATATGTAATAAAGATAAAATAACATATCTTTGTGAAGGATGTTTGCAAAACTTTTGTTTATTGGATTTAATAGAACATAGACAAATATTAATTGAAGAATTACATCATATTATTGATAATTATGATCAATTTAAACAAAGAATAGATGAACAAAAAGAAAATCCAGAAAGTTTTTCATTAATAGAACAAATTAATCAATGGGAAAGAAGTTCAATTGAAATAATAGAACAAAAAGCACGAGAGTGTAGAGAAATTGTCTTTAAATCTTCAAAAACATATTTGAATGATATAGAAAAGAAATTGAATGGTTTAAATGAACAAATAAAACAAATTCAAGAAGAAAATGAATTTAATGAGATTAATTTAGACTATTTAAGGAATGAATTAATAAAAATTAGACAAGAATTAAATAATCCATCAAACATGTCTATTCAACAAGAGTCCCAACCATTCATTAATGAAATTTCAGTTATTTCATTAGAAAAAAGTAAGTTTTTAACAAATAATTTCTAAAAAAAATTAAACTGATAACATTTATTCCTATATAAAAGAAAATAATGATAGTATATGATAAAATAATACTAAATTAAAACCAGATTTTTCTTCGAAGTTTCAAAAAATGGTTGATTAATAAAAACACATTGTTAGAAGCTCACTACTTTAGATATTTTATTTTTATCGTTTTCTAGAATCAAAATTCAACAAATGGAAACAAAATGCCATCACTGTGGCTGGTGGAAACGGATTTGGACAGAAACTGAATCAATTTAAATATCCTTGTGGGATCTCTATTGATGAAAAGAAAAATATTGTTATTGCTGATTTTGAAAATCATCGAATTCTTGAATGGAAATGTAATGAAGAAGAAGGAGAAATTATTGTAGGTGAAAATGGACAAGAAAATCGAATGTATCAATTGAATCATCCAACAGATATAATTGTTGATCAACAAAATCATTCCATCATCATTGCTGATTGTTGGAACAGACGAGTGATTCAATGGTTAAATGAAGATCAACAAATTCTCATTGAAGATATTGACTGTTTTGCTTTAGCAATGGATAAAAATGGATTTCTTTATATTTCTGATTATAAGAAGAATGAAGTGAGACGATGGGAAATTGGAAAATACAACAACGAAGGAATTATAGTGGCAGGTGGAAATGGACAAGGAAATCAACTTAATCAACTCAATTTACCTGCTTATATCTTTGTTGATGAAGATCAATCTGTTTTTATATCAGATAGAAATAATAATCGTGTGATGAAATGGAGAAAAGATGCAAAAGAAGGAATAGTTGTGGCTGGAGGAAATGGTCAAGGAAAAGATCTCAATCAGTTGTCTTATCCTCGAGGAGTAATTGTTGATGATTTGGGTCAAATCTATGTGGCAGATTGGGGGAATCATCGAATAATGCGTTGGTGTGATGGAGAAGAAGAAGGTGAAATTGTTGTTGGGGGAAATGGAAAAGGAAATCAACCAAATCAATTGAATAATCCTTATGGTTTATCTTTTGATAACGACGGCAATCTTTATATTGTTGATGGTTGGAATCATCGAATTCAAAAATTCGATATCGTTTTGTAATTGAAGTTTTAATTTTGTAGACAAGAAAACAAAATTTTTGTTAAAATAAAAAATGTGAAGTTATATTATTAAAAATTAATGAAAAATATCGGATAAATATCGAAGGAAAAGGATTTTTGATAAGAAAAGAATAAAAAAAAATCTTTTTTTTAGAATGTAAGTGTGGATAAATAGAACATGAATCTAACCGTACTCAGACCCTTTTCATCATTACTCAAAACTTCTTTTACTTCTGGTTTAATTTTATCACCTAAACCTCCATCATCAAAACTTCCACCTGACTTTTGTTCATTAACAATACCTTCTTTAACTAAGACAAAAAATGTGACATGTTCATCTCGTTTATTATCAATAAACCAAGGGCGTTTAAATATAAATCTATTACGAAAATTAGATCAATTATCAATTGAATACTTTCTTTCTATTTTTTTTTCTTTATTTAGCATCATTATTTTCTCTTGAATTAACAAATAAATTACAAAAATCTTCTTTAAATAATAAAAATTGTGAATTTTGCTCTGATTCAAATACAAATGATTGTATAAAGCATAGACACTGTTCAATTGAAATCTCACTGTATCCGTAGCGTATGTATATCTGTGATATATATTGATACAAATGTTCGCCGTTTTGGTGCTCCCACGAAATGATTTTATCGCAATTGTTTTCATGTTTTTATTTTCTGAGTATTATTTGATACGGAGTTAAATAAAGTTATTAAAAGGATAAAATATTTAGTTTATATTAACAAAGAAATACATATTAGATAATAATATGATTTTATATTTTCTAGTAAAATGGTTATACCTATCTATGAAAATAGTTAGTCAGTTACATACACTTGTATGTCCATAGCCGACTAGCCATACACACGTGTGTAAATAAACACTTTCTTATGTGTATATCTAAAACAGTAGATAAACAAATATTTATTTCTTTTATTAACTTTTATTCTAACACATGGCAAGGGCAAACAATAAAAGAAAATGTTTTACATGTGATAGAGAAAACAATACATATCTTTGTGAAGGTTGTTCAAAAAGATTTTGTTCTAGACATATACCAGAACATCAACAAAAACTAAATGAAGAATTACATCATACTATTAATGATTATAATGAATTCAAAGAAAGAATTAATGAACAAAAACAAAATCCTGAAAATCATTTATTAATAAAACAAATTGATCAATGGGAAATAAGTTCAATTGAAACCATTCAACAAAAAGCAAAAGATTGCAGAGAAGTTGTCATTCAGTCATTACATACATGTATTATAGATATTGAAATAAAATTTAATGATTTAAATGAACAAATACAACACCTTCAAAAAGCAAATGACTTCAATGAAATTAATTTAAATTATTTAGCAAATCAATTAAAGGAAATTACAGAACAATTAAATAATCCATCAAATATCTCTATTCAACAAAATTCACAATCATTAATTAATGATATTTCTATTATTTTATCAAAAAGTAAGTTTTTACGATATAATCTCTAAAAGAAACATACTAATTTTCCATGAAATTATATTGAAAAATTGTAATACAATGAAAATAATAATGAAGAAGAGAAAAAAAACTTGAGAATATAATTGATTTATTTAATCAACAATAATAAAATTGACAGAAATAGAAGATTTAATTTATTTGTATGTAAAAGAAAAGAATGATTGAATATGAAATAATATGAAATTAAAAAATTAATTTTTCTTCAATGTTTTAAAAAAGATTCAATTGATAAAAAAACAAAATTTTCTTTTTCTTCTTTTCATCAAAATCTTTTATTTTCATTATTTTCTAGAATCAAAATTCAATAAATGGAAACAAAATCCCATAATCGTAGCTGGTGGAAATAAAGAAGGACACAACTTAAATCAACTCAATCGCCCTGCTGGAATCTTTATTGATAAAAAGAAAACGATTTTCATCGCTGATTGCTATAATGATCGTGTTGTTGAATGGAAATGTAATGCAAAAGAAGGACAAATTATTGCAGGTGGAGATGCGGAAGGAAATCGAATGGATCAATTGAATTGCCCAATAGATTTGATTATTGATCAACAAAGTCATTCGATCATCATTGCTGATTGTGATAACAGACGAGTGATTCAATGGTTGAACCAAAATCAGCAAATTCTCATCGATAATATTGACTGTTGCAGCTTGGCAATGGATACACATGGATTTCTTTATGTTTCTAATCAAGAGAAGAATGAAGTGAGACGATGGAATATAGGAGAATACAACAATGAAGGAGTTAAGGTGGCAGGTGGAAATGGATCAGGAAACCAACTCAATCAGCTCAATTGTCCAAGTTTTATCTTTGTTGATGAAGATCAAACTGTTTATGTATCAGATCGAAACAACCAACGTGTGATGAAATGGAGAAAAGATGCACAAGAAGGAACAATTGTGGCTGGAGGAAATGGTGAAGGAGAAAGTCTTAATCAATTGTCTGGTCCTGAAGGAATCATTGTTGATCGTTGGGGTCAAATATATGTGGCAGATAGTGATAATCATCGAATAATACGTTGGTGTGAAGGAAAAGAAGAAGGTGAAGTTGTCGTTGGTGGAAATGGTGAAGAAAATCAATTGAATGATCCCGCAGGCTTATCTTTTGATGATGAAGGAAATCTTTATGTTGCTGATTTTCGGAATCATCGAATTGAAAAATTTGAAATAATTTTGTAAATTAAATTTGGATTTTGAAAAATAGAAAAGAAATTTTTTGTTGAATAAATAATTGGAAAATAAAAGCAAAAATAAAGTTTTATTACTCAAAGTCAATGAAAAAATCGATTAAAATTTGAAAAGAAATCTTTTCGATTTTTTTCTTTTCAAAATGAAATTAAATTTGATAGTTTTCATTAAAAAATTCGAATACATAAATGTTAAATTTTTTCGCCTCATGTTGATTCTTGTTGAATTTCAAAGTAGAAAAAATAGAATATTTTGTAATTTGAATTGAACTGAAGTAGAAATTCTTTGAAAAGCAGGTTTTATGTTTAATTAAATTCTATTTGAATTTTTTTATTTGATAAAATTAATGAAATTGTCTAAAGTTGAAGAGAAAAGAAATGTTTTATAAAAATTTGATGATAAAAATTGGATTGCATTGTATTTTACTGAATTTTCAGAGAAAAGATCGAAAAAGTGTTCATCTTGTGAAGGTCTTTTTACAACTAAATCGATCAATAGAATTGAAAACTCTGTTCAAACCGAATAAGTTCATTATTAAAGGTTTCAGTGTATTTCAATATAGATCACCAATCGACGTTCTTGTCCTTTTCTTTCCAGGTTCTTGTTTTTCTTGATTTTCAGGCAGGACTCTTTTTCTATTCCTTACATGCAAGATTCTTGCCTGAAAATTTTTTACATACAAGATTCTTGTCTGAAAAAACTGATCTTGCCTTTCTTGTGATATTCGTGTAGACCGAATCTTGTCTGATGAGGCAAGAAATTCTTCTTCAGACAGATTCTTGTTCTCTTATTTTCTTGCCTGATTCTTGTTTTCCTTAAATTCTTGCCTGATTCTTATCTTTCTTACTTTCTTGTCTGATTCTTATCCTTCTTGATTTTCTTACCTGTTTCTGATTTCTTAGGCTTCTTGCCTGATTCTAGTCATATTAAAAAAGCCTTTTTTAGGTTATTAATACCTTTTTCATATCGTTTTATTATAAGCATTTCACAACATGTACAAAAAAATACGAAAGAACAAAAAAATACTTTAATTTTCACATATTCATGAAGTAGTTTTAATTTTTAACACAAAAAAAAATAAAAAACAAAATTTTTATTATTTATTTTCTTAAAATTTTATCTATACGAAGAGGATTATCAAACAATAATTTTTTAAATAAATCAATATTTTCTTCGTCCATTATATGTAATACTTTATCGATAGTGAAAAATCTAGAAAAAAAAATAAAATATATAGATATGAATTAGAAAAATATCAAAATATGTTCAATAAGGATTGCCTTCAATAAACAATGAGAAAATGGATATCATATATTCCATTGTTTTATTTATATGAAATAAACTTTTAGTATGCATCCAGTTAAAATAATAACTTACTAGATGTCGTCCAAACTAAATAAACGCTTTAGGAAAATAAAATAGTATAAGTGAGTGTGTACTATACTTATTCAGTCAGTAATGATTATGAATAAATAACGGTCAGCCAATGCTTTTATATATGTGATAAACAAAGACCATATCACGTGCCGTTCATCTTGGAAAGCTGGCAAGAATATTTTTTGCTTTTCTATTACAAGAATCTTGTCTGAATATTAAGAAATTTAAAATATCTTGTGTTTCTTTCCAGTTTCTTTTTATCATGAACTTCAGTCAAGATTCTTTTGAAAGAGAAGAAAAAGATTCTTGTCTGAATATTAACATATCTTGAATATCTTTTAATTCTTGCCTGATTCTTTTATTTCTGATTGTTCAGACAAGATACTTGTCAACTGAAAATTCTTGTATTATTCTTTTTACTTTCCTGTTGAAAAGAATCTTGCCTGAACACAAGAATCTTGTCAGAAAGTAAAGAAAAGCAAGAACCTGGAAAGAAGAGGACAAGAACGTCGACTAGTGATACATATGATAATAGTTGAAATTCGTTTTAAATAATAAATTATTTTTTCAAATACGTTTCATTATGTTTAATATGATGAGAAATAGTTTTATTACCTAAAGTTTTAGATTTTCATTATAAAGAAGATCATTTGTTTCACTCATCGCAGATATTTACTGTTATTATTTTTCTAGAGCTTTCCATAGCGTGTTCGACTATATGGAATACTTTCGTTTGTACTCTTACATATGATTATATCTAGTATATTTACTTATTTTGATATCGTTATTCTTTTTCAATTTCATTAAGTAACAAAATGAAAGTATTTTCAACTTTTGAAAATCTTATTTTTTGTCATTTTATTCATGTTTGATTTTCAATGTTGTTCGTTTTGAAACACTAAAAATCTATTTCACCAGAAACAAAACGTGTTTTTTTGTTATTTGTTTTTCACTTAAAATGTTTTGTCGCATATTTTTTTCAAATCCAATGTATATCTGAAAATGAACATATGAAACATCAAATGTTGTTCTTTTACAAAATAGTTAGAAGAATTGAATCGATAAACGAGAAATTCAAAGTGATGTCACAATCATATTGAAGGTTGAAGAAAAACATGATATTTGAAAGCATATAAGTAATAGTTCGTTGATTTCATAAGAAAACGCAATTATTTCTACGATGAACAATGGTTATTTGTTCGATTATTCCCATCTCTACAATACAATATATCCTGAGAAAATACTTGAAGATAACACATTTCGATAGAAGTCAAAAGAGCAGAAGAAAACGAATTGTAATAACGAAAAGGAAAAAATACTATATGGTTATATATGGAAGATAATACCATGTGACCATCTATGTGGTTAATGTAGCGAACGAATGATTTATTTGTTTGCTTACATGTGGTATAGATAGAATTCTGATTTATATCGAAATAATAACAAAAGATCACAAGCTTAACAATTCAATTCTTTCAAATAGTTTCATTTTGGTAAGTTAATTTCTTGGAATAATATAGAAAAAAGAATGAAAGATGAACAAAAAAAGAATGTCACACAATAACTATCGTGAGAATGAGAGTGATGATGATAACAGTAAGACTGGATTAAAATAAACATGACGATACAGTTAGGTGCATAAGAGATTAATATATCACCTATTTCAACGGTAACAATCTATGTTTAATCTTCAGCTACATACAAATCAGCATCGAAATATTCTTTCATTGAAAAAACATCAGTAGAATTGTTTGAATTTTTTATTTGAAATTAAAAAAAACAATTTTGTTTTCGATTTCTTTTACTATAGAACAATGTTTTTAATGTCATTGAGTTATTAACTTAATCTAGCTAATGTAGTAAATAAGGAGATATTTATTTCTTTTGAAAATTTATATTCAAGGACGTGGCAATGGCAAATAACAAAATACAATGTTTTACATGTAATGAAGACAAAATTACATATTCCTGTAAAGGATGTTCAAAAGAATTTTGTTTGATGGATTTAACAGAACATCGTCAAATATTAAACAGTGAATTACATTACATCACCAATCAATATAATGAATTTAAACAAACATTTAATGAACAAAAACAAAATTCACGAAATCATTCATTGATGAACCAAATTAATGAGTGGGAAATAAAATCGATTGAAAAAATTCAACAAAAAGCACAAGAGTATAGAGAAATGTTCATTAAATTATTACAAACATGTATTAATGATGTTGAAATGAAATTTAAAGACTTGAATGAACAAATAAAACAATTCCAAAAAGAAAACGAGTTTAATGAAATTAATTTAGACTATTTAAGAAATGAACTAGTAGTAATTACACAAGAACTAAATAATCCATCAAATATGTCTATCCAACAAAATTTGCAACCATTTATTAATGATATTTCAATCATTTTATCCAAAAGTAAGTTTTTTAAGAAATAATTTCTAGGAGAATAATTGTCATCTTTCAAGAATTTATGCTAAACAACCATAAAAGCAAAGCAAATTAATCAAGAATAAGATAAAAGCAATTAAAAATACTATTGATTTGTTTCATCAATAATAATAGAACTGATAGTAATAGAAAATTCAATTCATTTCTATGTAAAAGAAAAGAATGATAAGATATGAAATAATATCAAATTAAAAGAATCAATTTTTCTTCAGAGTTTGAGAGAAGATAGGTTTGATTGATAAAAACAAAACTGAATTATTTTCCAATTTTGATTTAACAGAAAATAAATCAACAAAATCTTTTCTAATTTTCCATTTCATTTCTTTTCATCGAAATCTTTTTTTTTTATTCTTTCTTAGAACCAATATTCAACAAATGGAAGCAAAATGCCATCACCGTAGCTGGTGGAAATGGATTTGGGCAAGAACTAAATCAATTTAAAACCCCGCGTGGAATATTTATTGATAACAAGAAACATATTTTCATTGCTGATGCTGAGAATCATCGTATTGTTGAATGGAAATATAATGCAAAAGAAGGATTAATCATTGCAGGTGGAAATGGCGAAGGAAATCGAATGGATCAATTGAATTATCCAACAGCTGTGATTGTTGACCAACAAAGTCATTCGATCATTATTGCTAATGGTAAGAACGCCCGAGTGATTCAATGGATGAATAAAAATCAGCAAATTCTCATTGACAATATTATCTGTTTGGGCTTGGCAATGGATAAACATGAATTTCTTTATGTTTCTGATGTTGCGAAGAATGAAGTGAGACGATGGAAAATGGGTGAACACAATGAAGGAATTGTAGTTGCAGGTGGAAATGGAAAAGGGAATCAACTCAATCAACTTGATCGTCCTACTTTTATCTTTATTGATGAAGATCAATCTGTTTATGTATCAGATTCTTTCAATCATCGTGTGATGAAATGGAGAAAAGATGCAAAAGAAGGAAGAATTGTGGCTGGCGGAAATGATAAAGGAGAAAAATTGAATCAATTATCTTCACCTCAAGGAGTAATTGTTGATCATTTTGGTCAAATCTATGTAGCTGATGGTGGGAATCATCGAATAATGCGTTGGTGTGAAGGAAAAGAAGAAGGTGAAATTGTTGTTGGTGGAAATGGTAAAGGAAATCAATCAGATCAATTGAATGGTCCCACAGGTTTATCTTTTGATGATGAAGGAAATCTTTATGTTGCTGATCGTTCAAATCATCAAATTCAAAAATTCGAAATAATTTTGT